GCGTCCCGGCCGCTTCTTCTGCACCACCCCGCTCACAGCCCCCGGCATCACCACGCACCCCCCTCCACGCGCCAGCCGCCCGGCCGCGGCGGTGGCGACCCACGCAGCTGCCTAGCGCCGGCGGCGCGGCATCATAGCTCGTCCTTGAGCAGGCTGTATCGGTTTCCGGACGGGCCCAGCTTCTTGAAGACGGACTCGGGCGGCGAGGTGGGCGGCGGCGCCGGCTTCTGGCCGCGCGTCGGCGCCGGCGCCGGTGCCGCCGCCGCCGGCGCCGCCGGCTCCTGCACGCCGTAATGGAACTCGCGATGTAGTTTGCCCGAGTGCAGGTCGGCGATGAAGTCTGCAGCTTGCCGGGCGTCTCCATGTCCTGCCGGCGGCCGGCGGCCGGTGAGGGGAGGTCCCGCTGGGAAGGCGAAACCCCGCTGGGAGGGGAAGTTCCACTAGAGGGGAGGTCCCGTTGGGAAGGGGAAATCCCGCTGGTAGGGAGCCTGTTGGGAGGAGAAGACCTGTTGGGAGAGGAAGCCTTGCTGGGAGAGATGCCCACTGGGAGCGCGGGGCCCCGCTGGGAGAACGAGGCCCCGCTGGGAGGGGGAGGCCCCACTACGACATGGGGCGGCGGGTGCGGGGCGTCTCTCGCCGTTATCGGCGGAAAAGAACGGCTAACAGAAGATTCGAAAGCGATCGCTATGGGGGGGGGGGGGGGGGATTACGCGAGCGTGGTTTTACTGACGTCAACCCCAGCGTCACTGTAACTGAAGGCCGTAGCGCAAGTGGTGAGCTTAGTTAGAGCGTTTACATCGAGGCAGCGATTTCATCCACCGACCACCGCACGCGGTTCTTCGCATTTAGTATCCACGTATGAACGCTCACATTTTGCATGGGCTTTGTGCCAATACACTAGCGTGTAATGCATTGGTAGTATTCGGAAATGCTGCACATATGATGTTGGCTCACTCAATTTCCATACTACATGGCGTTGGCTCCACTGGTGATACCCATTCCATACTTTAGAGCCTTTGGTTGAAACAATTCCGACAAACTACTGCGATGATGACGATGATCGGGGTTCTAGGGCGCGCCGACTTCTGGGGTCATTTTGCGCCCAGACAAATTACCGTCCAATGTTATCAGTCGGTATCTGGTCAGCTGGATCCCAACCAACATCAAGACGCACTGCGCTGAGGTTTGACACTTCTAAAACATCGTGATGTTCTGTCCACAAGACAAGTCGGACCGCAAGACAAGTTCGGACCGTAATGTGGACGCCAAAAAGCGGAATAGGGACACAACAGAATAATGACAAACGAGTTCACATCAAACAAGGCTTGCCAAGTCCCACAAGGTTTACAAGACTCTCTCAGTACTTGGCCCACCACATCAGGCTATCTATCACTAGTGCCGTAAACCATAAAATCGCAAAGCACGACACTCCCGAGTACCCGCGTCGCCGGACACCCCCCCTCAGCCATGAGAGTCCACCGGCCGCCAGTCCGCCGCGTCCGCCGCCAGCAGCGCTACAGTCGGCTCACCTTGATATCGGGGAAGACATACATATGCCGGAAGCTGTCGATGGCTATTAGCGGCAGGTCCGCCTTGGACTTGCCGAGGTGCTGCAGCGGGTGGGCGAACGTCAAGCCGTCCGCCGTCAAAAACTGGATCCCCTCTGCGAGGTACGAGAGTCGGGGCAGGTCAGTCGAATGCACGGGTTCCTCTCTGAGCGTGTGACCGACACACGAGCCTTCCTCTCACAGACGGCAGGTCCCGTGACACCGATTAGCCGTCGCTGCTGGACACCGGAGAGACGGGGGTCGGGCCACGGCGGAGCAGCGGCCACCGCAGGACTGGCGCAGGGGCAGCCCCTCTGAGGGGCAGGGGCTGGGTCGGGTCAGCGCGGACCCACGCCAGCCTGTCTCGCAACATGCCCGAACCGCCGCAAGGCGGCGGCGGCGGCACGCTCACCTTTCTCGGTGTACAGCTCATCCTCGACCATGTGCAGGAACCGCTTGGGCGTCTCCGTGTCGTCCGGCATGTGGAAGAGAATGAGGAAGGGCAGCCCCTCCTCGGTCAGCTCCTCCGCGTTCTCGAAGGTGATCTCCCGCACCTGGCGGACGGACGTCGGTCGACGGGACCAGTCAGGCTCGGCGTGTTTTGCGTGCGCCAGTCCTACAGCCAACCGCGCCACCAGCCGATCCATAACACAGCCCGGCCATCGGATTCACTCGTCAGATCGGTAAACATGATAGGCCGCTGAATTGCGTCGTCATTTAAACACGTTTGTGCTGTAATTTCAGGCGTATACGGTTTCACGGCATAAATGACGCATTTACGTCGTTTTACTACGCCGTACATTATGTGCAATTTACAACCACAGACCTGGCGTGAAATGATCCCTAAATGCGCAAGGTCACGCCAGTTCTCAGTACGCCGCATGCCACGCGCTCAAGCCATCCGCCAAGTGACCACTCTCCCGAATGGGGCGGCGAGCGCTCTCTCCCCATCCCGCCGTCTCCCCGCCACCCGTGACATTCACCGCCTCAAGGCCACCGCTCGAGCACAACCACCGCGTCCCGGTCCGGACATCCCTCGCGCCGGCCCGCGCGGCGCGCGGGGGCCGGCACGGCGCGGCGCGGCGCGCGCCACCCACCAGCGGCCACGCAGGTGCGGCGCGCCCAGTCGGTCAGCCGCTCCGTGTCCGTGATGTCGATCTGGGGCATGGCGATGTCGTCGGTGGAGCTCGGCTTGCGCACTATCACCAGGTCCTGGCCGCCGGGCAATGAACGGCCGGAACGGCTCCCTAGGGGCGCGCGTCACGCCCCGTCACACGCCGCACGGCACTGCGCGCGCCACGTCAGTCGCGCACCGTCGCGACTGCGGCACGTCTTCCGAGCGTGCCTCTAGCGGTGCTAGACGCGCGGGCTGAGCATCGCAGACCAACATACGTGGAAGGCGGGGAGGGGGCTGTCATGCCGGCAGTTTTGTGGCTGTGGGTAAAATGTTACTGAACCAATCATGAAACACTAACTGCAAAACAAACTTTATAATAAGCAGTGGGACAAACAGTATCAGCTGGCCAGATCTTGAGCGCCAGCTGTCGCTGTCTTTCATTATTAAGAGCTGATACTCGCTTGCACCTGACAACACTGCAACATACTGGTAAAAGCCTTGTTCCGGAGTCACCATAGCAACAAGTCCTGCCGGAAGGGCACTGCCCTTTAACACGTCTGCATAAAACATGAAGCCCAGATTGTGAAAAAGATGCATTTCGGACCACATACCCGAAGCCGGCGATCATAACGCATTCGTCTTTCAAGGCCATGGCCATTTTCATAAACGACTGGTACGTGCTGGTATCTTGGCTGCTGAAGTACCCAATTACTTGCCCCTTCTTTTCCTGGAAAAGAACAAAAAGATTGAGCACAACAAAACAGAACACAATAGGGGGACTTCTTTAGTTTCGTTATTCTAGCCGACACCAGGAAGACCTCTTGTCATGCAACAACCCTACGCACTATTCATATTGCAATACATTTGCACGTTTTGCAGCAAACGAACGCAATTAACAGATCACCTCCTACGACATTGAAACACTCCCTGGCAGGGGTTCATATA